TTACATCTGAAATATGAATGGAATCCAGTCACACCCTGGCCTGCTATTATTCACATTATATTTCATTTGTTCATGAATCTGGATGACTAATAAAACTACAGTTGCTTTTTGCAACGTTAAACATAGTTAACAACAGGAAAAGGGGTTTGTTTTAAGTTTTAACAGACTCTTTGGATGACTAATAAAACTACATTTGTCCATTGTTTTGCAGCAAGAGCGTGAGCACTATGAATACATCATTAACGAGGGAAAAGTTATCCATAAACAGTCTGGAGAACCACTTGATACAAGGGGTCCTAACGGGACTAAATGGATATTTGTTATGAGTACAGCAAAAAAACTTTATGCTGGCAAGGTAATTTGTCTACTTTTACTGTCGTACAATGACTTCGCAGTTTCACACTCTGCTGAAACAATATTATATCTTTGTTGCATTTGGCTACTTTACTTCTGCTAAACCTATTTCTATATATTCATCAGAAGCAGAGAGGCGTATTCCAGCACTCCAGCTTTTTGGCAGGAGGTGCAACTATAGCTGCTGGGAGATTTACTGCAGAAAATGGAGTGATCAAGGTATTCTTTTTAGCAACCACTGCCTATTGGAATGTTTGTTTTATATCACGGTATTTTACTTTCATGGTATTCCTGCTTGTGCTATTGTTACCTTTGATCAAAGAGCCTTTTACCTGTATGGCCCTAGAAAAAATGCATCTTCCTTGTGTGGCCCTATTTTTTTTGAACTTACCTGTATGGCCCCGAAACGAAATTTCCTTCCTTCTATGGCCTTCCGTCCGTTTTGAGCACTTGACGGTGTTAAGTCAAGGGTAAAATGACCATTTTACCCCTGACAAAAAAAATAAAATACAGAGTTTTGTTTGTCTCTTGTACATTTGGAGTAATGTTACGCAAATAAATTCACACATAACAATACATAATAACACACATAATCAAGTACACAAATATATTACAATAAAATGAGCTTATCAAATGCATAAAAAAATTACACAAATGCATTGCAATTAACCATAGTTTCAGTCTCACATAAATTTGGTCTCACATAATTAAAGTCACACAAATTAAAAGTGTAATTTCAAACATACATTGGTCTCACATACAACAAGCTTGAATCGGGCTATTGCTAGACTCCACTATTGTGCGTTCATTAAAATTTCATTAATCATTTAACAAGGACGAGTTCACTAGAACATAGCACTGCCACCGGCAACACAAACAAGTTTTCAAAAAAAAAGAAACACAAATGACACGCAGCACTGGCGTATACAAGCATGCGGATTCTTCATCTTGTCGTCCTTCAGACCGCGGTCACCTCCTCCACGAGCCGCTGGAACTCGGCGTGAACCGGAACGAGCGGTGCAGGAGCTGGGAGTCCGAGTCCTCCCCGTCGTCCTCGTCGTCGTCCTCATCGTCGTCAATGATCTGCGCAAACTCGTGGTGCGGGAAGTCGACCTGCGGAGCGGCGGGTCGCGCGCGCGGAGGACGGTGCGGTTGAGGGCCGGTGGGAGCGACAGCGGGAGGCCGCGCGCCCTCTCGTCCCACGAGTTGACGAACTGCATGGCGCCGACACCGCCGAACATGCAGTGGTTGATGGCCAGCCCCAGCACGAAGCTGCCACACTTGAACTTGGTCACCTTGCATGTCCATGGATCGATCGTCCATTGTTATTAACTCCGTCCATCGATCCAGGAGAGACGAGCGGCAAATAGTACTTACCTGGGCTGCAAGCTGCAGCATCTCGAGTATGTTCCTGGTGCCGGGGACGCTGTACGCGAGCCTGCCGAGCACGGAGGGGTCGGGGTCAGGGTTGGGGTCGGTGACGTCGCCGATGTCCGCCATGGCGCAGTCCGCCTCGGCCTCCACGAACACGGCGCCTTCGCCCGTGCTGTCAACGACCAGCTTCCGCTCGCCTGATCGAGATCGCCACCACCAGCGAAGGGTAGTAGTGAGCGGGCAGCACCTTCGCCCAGTGACTCCCTCGACACGTCGCGCGGCGCCGATTCGTCGCCGGCGCCGTCTGCCGCCCTGAAGCAGTACACGGTCTGCACGATGACGGCGATGTTCTGGTCCAGGTTAGAGAGATCCCGGCGGTGGCCCCTGGCCGGTGGCGGCAGCGCCCTGGCCGGCTGCGGCGGCGTTGGAGTCCTCCCCCATCCTTGGTCTCGTGTGTTTCCGCCCGCTCGGTGTCGGTCTGGATCGGATGCCGTGGAATTGACAGAAACACAGAAGGGCAATTTAGACATTTCTCTTATCAACCAGTGGCAAACTAACAGAGTACCCTAACAGACTTGACAGAAGGCCATAGAAGAAATAAAATTTCATATCAGAGCAAGTTCAAAAAAAATAAGGTCACACAGGGAAGATGTATTTTTTTCAGGGCCATAAAGGTAAAAAGCTCTTGATCAAAATGTTTTATTTGTGTCATTCACTGTGTGTGATCCTCCAAACCATTCTTTGCTGTTCCATGGGCTACCATGAATAACTATTTTTTGACAATCCATTCTAAATGGCAAATATGAAATATAAACCAGAACATTAATATCCATGCACAGAATTTTTTCGGCACAATTCTTTTGGCAGTATATCAGAAACTATAGTTTCTGAATGTCCAGTACACATCAGATATCTACTTATCTTGATTCAACCACTGTGCGAGTTGATGTGGACTCAGATGACTATGTCGCATCCTTCTATTTTTGAGCTATGCAGCATATAATAATATCATTTGGTTACTTTGATTACGTCATTTTAGTGTACGTTTTCATCAGTGCATTTGGTTTAATTTTTCTATTTGTTCTGGATTAAGTCCATCTGGGCGTACAGCGGTCACTACAAACCTAGTGCAGAGAACCTCCACAATATCATGAACTTACTTGAAGAGAATGGAGTTGACCTCAAAGAAGTTGAGGTACACTATCTTAAACATTAACAGTTGAAATTATGCTCATGCCACCAAATGGTAGATGGTTTCATTTAGTGAGCTTTGTTTTTGGTTGCAGGTGCGCTCATCCACCAGAGAAGACTACAACGAAGATCCAGTGCCTAATGACTCACAGAAGTTTACTTCAGCTATCATGGAACCAGATCTTCCACAAGTGGTTCCCCCTCCAAACACCACAGAAGGCAATGAAGGAGACAACGCTCCTGAAGAACAAGCCAGGCCAACCTACCAAAGGACCTTATCGGGTGGTCTGCAAAGCCCTAGAGCCACCGAAGTCCCCCAGAAGGCGATTCTCGAGAGGATGAAATCCAAGAGCGAGTCCAAGTCCTATCAGCTCGGGCACAGGCTGTCCCTTAAATGGAGCACTGGGGCTGGTCCGAGAATTGGATGTGTCAAGGACTACCCAATGGAGCTCCGGATGCAGGCACTGGAGATGGTGGATCTGTCGCCAAGGGCATCAACTCTGTCAGCGTCAAGGAAACTGCCTCCTTTGTCCCCCACTAAAGTCACATCGCCAACATCACCGCTTGCGTCAATTCAGGCCTCCCTGCCCCAGCCAAGTTAGGAACTTAGAGTAGCTTATTATGCCACGCAAATAGCACGAAACCATGCTTTTCAGCTGGCCAGTTACTGCTATTCTGGAATATCATTTTTCAGCACTGCAAAGATCACATGCCTGGTTTGTCCATGCTGCTTCTCCGCTGTCCTGTGGTTCCATTCAGAGAAGCACAGTGCAATGTTCTCCAACTGAAATAGGCTATGGGCAGAATCTGTCACATTTCAGATATGATAGCTTTGAAGCAGATGTGATAGTATGTTTCATTACCGTGGTTAAGGCATTACATGTGTCAATGTTCTCCAACTGAAATAGGCTATGGGCAGAATCTGTCACATTTCAGATATGATAGCTTTGAAGCAGATGTGATAGTATGTTTCATTACCGTGGTTAAGGCATTACATGTGTCAGTCCTCAGAGCTCAGCAGTAGTCTGCTGGCCATCAGACCCAGAGCTCAGCAGTAGTCTGCTGGCCATCAGATAAAACCGCTATGCATTCATCAAGAACAAGGTGTATACTCTCAAGTCAGCACACCAGTATAGCAGCCTTAGCATAACATGATGTATTTTGCCTGTTTTGCATTGACCATTGAGAATTCTTCAGGGGTCCTCAGACCTCAGCAAACACAGGTAGCTGCAGAGTGAGAGCCTTTGTGCTGAGCCCATCATTGCAGACGGGCCTAGGAATCATTTCTTTTCTTTCCAAAGATGGGCCTCGCTAGAAGTTTTCTCTTCCCCTCGGAATTCTTTTTTTTTAACGCAATGGCAGGAGCTCTGCCTTTTAATTAAGATAAGAAAAGATAGTTTATGTACAAGCCATGACACTCCAGATGAGGGTTTTAATCCCCCCGACGCAGGTAAAGTGGGGGGAAACACACACCCCAATGGAGGGAACAACAGCTAAACATAAGCGAGTGCTCTCTTCCTTTACTCTGTCTTCCTTTATCCCTGCGGCAACGTTTCTATTTTGTTGTCGAAAATTCTCCTATTTCTCTCTTTTCAAATATTCCAAAAGGTGTAGATAACTACCCCGTTTAGTCGTCTACGTTCAGATTTTGGCACTTTCCTTGCCACCTCTTCCCACCATGTCCTGATATGGATGGGGTCTGCCTGGGGCTGTTGTTGCAGGTGAGTGAAGTTTTTCCAAGAGAGGATCTGATCCCAAACCGTCTTAGCAAAAGGGTAACATAGGCATAGGTGGAGGCCGGTTTCTAAGGAACCGTTGCACATCACGCAGTTTGTTGGTGTGGCACCCTCTCTTTTGTAGGTTTTGTGCCGTAAAATTTTTATCTTGCACTAAAATCCAGGCGAAGATCTTGCATCTGTTCTCCACCTGAGCTTTCCAAATGAGTTCCGTACGGAAGGGGACGAGCGAGCCTTTGAATTGAATTCTGTAATCTGAGCGGGCGGAGTAAATCCCATCCTGGGTCCAACGCCAGGTGATGGAGTTTTGCACGCCCTGTTGTAGGTGCACGTTCTGTATTCGTATCAAAGGGACACAAACTCCTCTATGTGGACAGCCGAGGTGATTATCATTCCTAGCGAGCGCATCCAATTGTTGTTCCGGAGCTCTTGTTGCACCGTTTGATTTCTCCTTGAAATAAGGCGAAACAAATTCGGGGCTAGGTATCTTGGAGCCTCACTTTGAAGCCAATTATGGTGCCAAAACTTAGTCTTTGCGTCATCCCCCAAAGTTATAATGGAGTTGAAGAGTAGACGATCACCGTCAGTACATGGAAGCTCTGAGCCGTCCAAGGCTTGGAGTCGTCCACCCATTCTTGCCAAAGCCAGCGCAACCGGAGGGCTCTCCCAAATCTTTCAAGGTCAGGCACGTCTAAACCACCAAGGTCTTTTGGTCTGGTAACTGTTGGTCAGTTAACCAAGCATTGTCCGCTATTGGCATTCTCCTCCCCTTCCACGAGAAAGATCTCGGAATTCTGTTTTCTTCGTGCTCTGTATTTTGACGTACAGCTCTAAAGAGAATATCGTTTCAGGACAAAAAGCACACACGTCAAGGGTCAAGGGTGAAGCTAGGGGAGAAAAGGTTCTTGCTGTCTGCATGATGAAATGAGTTACTATGGATTACAAATATTCACTTTTTCTACACCTGAATTCAGTTAAAAAGTCAGGATGTCAACTAGCCATCAACAAGCACACAATCTTCTTTAGATAATCCGTTCACTTGTCTTATAATCCGTACTTTTCAACTTGTTTTTTTCAGCCGGAACAGTGCTTTTATCTCACAACAAATCAGCCGGAACAGTGTTTCGGCTTGTTTTTTCAGCGAAGCGAACGGAGCCAATTACTTCACATGCAGTACGCCATGAACAAACACGCATCCGTGAGCAACCTGGTGTCCTATCACTCTATCAGAAATTCAATCTTTAATGCAGAAAATGCAAGACCTCCTAAATACTTCTGCTCCATAGATCTCTCTCTTCCAGGTTTAACTTACAATTAGCTTCCTCAACATAGCAATGCTACGATATTTCACGCAACAAAATGGTCAGCGCCAAAACTACAACACTTAGATACAATGTTTTCTGATCCAATACACCTAAACACATAATGCTGAATCAGCCAGTCTCATGCAAGATGTGTCAAACTCTACAGTTCTTTCGAAACACAGGATGGATACTAACAAAACCTCTCACACCGAGCAACAGTTTCATTTATTTGCTCAAGTACCTTGGGCAAATCCGCAATATTAGCTTTGATCTTGGATTTGAGGATCTTTACTTTCTCAAGCTCTTGGTCATCTTCGGCAACTGATGTTTCCGAGACAACTGGAACTTCTGCAATATCAATGGACGTATTAGCAGTTATTATGGTATAAATAAAAACTATAACATAAAAAATCAAAGCATGCCGAGCTTGGGAAGCATCAGTTGTCTCTGAAAATGTTGGAGTTTTTAATTTCTGAAATTAACAGACCAATACAAGCGAATTGTGGCAACCGGCAAACTAGCAGCAACAGATGTAAAAGACTAGCCATTTTTAAATTTTGATAGGTATATTTGAACTGTGCAAGCATAACTTGGTACATAAAGTCAAACTTCTCTAACTTCGACAATGTTTTTAGAAAAATATAGTAAAACTAGAGGTTTAAATAAATGCAATATCAAAACATATTTCATAGGTGATCTTTTATCCTGTATCCACCTGCTGGTGTATTTTTCTATAAACTTGGTCAAAGTTTACGAAGCCTGGTTTAGGACAAAGTAAAAGTGAACTATAATTGCAATGGGGGGAGTATTAACATTGCCACAACTAGCAAAGGCAGTGGAAATTGGTGATTAGTACCATTTAACAACCGAGCGCTGTACGAAAATTCACTAAACCACATCCATAGGCAAACAATGGACTCTGAATATACGTCAGAAATTTGCCATGCCAGGAAAACTGAATCTCTTCCATTTCTTCTCTCGCTCAAAGTCAAAGGATTTTATTAGACAAAAAATATATAAACAAGGCTTCCTCAAATGTAACCACGCAAAACCGGGTGGCCGTGCGTATCCAAAATTAACCCCCCCTAAAGTGACAATTTCTTCACGTATGCCACCGAGAACAAATCCACGGAACACACAAATAAGCATCACCGCCACACAACACAAGAGGGCGGAGGGAGCAGTCTCAAACCCTAGCACGGCACGGTAGCTTGGCTGGAAGGACGAGGGGGCGTACCGAGGCGTGCGGGAGGGCGGAGCGCGGCGAGGCGGGAGAAGGCAGCGTCGGGGAGGCGGGTGGCGGTGCGGCGGAGGTGCTCGAGGGTGCGGCGGTCCAGATCGGCTACCTCGCTCTCCAGCTCCTCCACCTCCGCCTCCGCCTCGTCCTCGGCGGCTGCGGCGGGGGCCGGAGACTTGCGCTTGCGCTGGTTGGGCGGGGCTCCACCAGTCTGGCCTGGCGCGAGCGAACCGCCAGCCATGGTGTGGATTTGGGAGCGGCCGCAAGGAGGGAGAGGCGGGCCGACGAAGAGGCAGGGAGCAGAGCGGATTCAGTTTGGGGGAGGAGCGCAGGGTGCGACCGTGCGTGCCGAGCAGATAGGCCCGGCCCGGTTCAAAATTAGGGGCTTCTCAGACATGGGGCCCGCGTGGGTTAGGTCGGCCCAGATACGAATGGAAAAATTAGGACATATTTAAAGCAAAGAAATAGATGTCAGAACGAAACATTCGCAACATACGTCTGAAAGCAGATAAAACACTTAAAATATGCATCTAAAATACTTAAAAAATACATAAAAAATATCTGAAAACCATTGTAAAATATACGCAACATCCAGATAAAACACTTGCAGCATATGTGCAAAACATATGGAACATCCAAATAAGCACACTTGCAACATACGTCTAGAAAAAAAAGGTAAAACATTGTGAACAGAAGCCTACAACATACGTGTACAACCATTGCAACATATATGCAACGTCCCGATCTACTTTTGCAACATCTGCATTAAACACTTGCAACGTACCTCTAAAACACTTGAAACACACTTGCAACATACGCTTTCAGTACAATGTCACCTTACTGCTTAGACGAATGGACGCTCGTCGTTGCAGAGCATGACGGCGGCGCGGAGGTCGACGGCGGTGCATGGAGCTCGCTGGTGCAGCAGTGGCACGACCCTCCTGCGATTCTCTATCGCCTGCTCGCGGTCCAAGCTCGCGCCCGTCGACGTGGCCTTGTTGCTGCTACTCCAACGGCGCTGCTCGCCCGACCGCAGTCGTGTCCAGCGCTATCCGCTTGCAGGGGATGGGGGCAGCCGACAATGGGGTGTAGCGCGGTGGGGGAAGGGCACGGCGCGACGCCGTGAAGGGGGATGGGACACGGTGGGAAAGGGGGCGCAGCGGGGCAGACGGATGAGCGTCTCGGAATCTTAGCACGCAGTGACGGATAGACGAGCGGAGTGAGGTTTTTTTTGAGAGGCCGGTCCACTGCGCTGCGCAAGACTAGGAGCCAAGTCCGACGGGAAGGACGCCCGAGAACGAGACGGCAAGCTAACCAGTAGTAATCAGGCAACTTATTAATTACTAGGTAGCGTGCCCGTGCGTTGCTACGGGACAACTAAATCTTTTATACTAAAAACACACGGATCGTACGATAAGATAACAATACTGTTAAATTAAATACCGACATCAAAGTGACATTTAATTCAAAAAGCAAAGTTCATGAAATTAACACAGTCACGGAGAGCGCGACGTCGCAGGCTCACAAACTCTACTGTATAGACTTTTTCGTGATACGGCTAAGATAATATTTTATATCTGCAAAAAGAATTCTACGATATCTATTTCTTTCATATGCCAATAAATCCATAAATAAGTTCTGCTGCATCTCCGTATAATCATATACACACATGTTCGAGTATATATGCAAATAGGTCATGCACGTGCGTTGCTACGGGACAACTAAACTTTTGTAATAAAAACACACGGATCGTACGATAAGATAACAATACTGTAAAAGTATATGACCGACGTTAAAGTGATATTTAATCAAAAAGCTAACTTCGTGAAATTTACACAGTCACAGAGAGCGTGGCGTCACAGGCTTACAAACTCTACTGTGTAGATCTTTCCGTGATGCGGCTAAGATCATTTTTTATACCGGCTGGAAGAGATTTTCGATATCCATTTCTTTTGTGCGCCAATAAATCCACGAATAAGTTCCACCACATCTTCATACCATCCTGTACACGGCGCTGGCAAGCGAATTAGCCACAACTTATGTAATTAGTTTTATAATTAGCTCATGTTTAGTCCTCCTAATTGATATCTAAAAATTCAATGTGACAGGGACTAAAGTTTAGTCATGGGATCTAAACACCTCCTGACTCTCGACTCCTGCTGGCTGCTCACTTGCACCACCATGCCTATGTGTCTGCACGTATATACTCTAATACCAGAATGTCTAAGATGGTCTTTATTGTCCACCCTTTGAAAATTTTATAACTTTAAGGTTGCTATTTGTGTATGCTGTAGAATTGGGATGCTTTACACTGATCCATGAGGGTGTCCATGAGAGTCGAAATTTTTGATGCCATTATGATGTCTAAGCTTACCAATCAGATAGAGACGAACTTGATTGTTAAAATATTTTCAACATTGCTTTCATATACTCCCTCTGTCCCAAAATAGAATTCATTCTCGGTTCCCGAGAAGTTAACTTTTTTTTAACTTCGACCAATTATATATAAAAGAATATTAATATTTATAATACATAATTAGTATCGTTACATAGAACATTGAATATATTTTCATAAAAAAATTATTTGGAGATATAAATGTTGCACGTATTTTTTACAAATCTAGTCAAAATTGAGAAAGTTTGACCTGCACGTATTCCATAACGACTTATATTTTAGGGCAGAGAAAATATATGCTAATGGGAGCAATCAACTAGAAGTCGTGATGAACACAACAATACTTTCATATTATATGCTAATGGGAGCATGAAGAAACGCAGAGAAATAGACCTATATACTAATGGTGGGAATATTCGTTTAGGAAATTACAGAAGTTTCACTAGTCTCACCATGTATAACCTGCACATCTTTTATTTGGCACCATTGATGTTTTCAAGGAGCAGTCATTTTTTAATTTCAGGTCTGCATGCTGGATTGTTTCCTTCCATGCATGATTATTGTTTCCTTCCATACATGTGGCCTTCCATGCATGATTATTGTTTACTTCCATGCATGTGGTCTCAGGTGATTGATTTGTTTCCTTCAAAACAGGCGGGGATAGCAGGGATGATAATTTCTTTTTCTATCGCGCGGGGTATCGCACGGCCGGAAGGAATGAGCGACCCAAAACAAAAGTCGCATAAAAATATTATCTTACTTTTGTTTTTTTAGTTGCAGGAGATACGACAATCATCCATGTTTAGTGAAGTTAGTCGCTAACATATGGCATTGCCACGACTTCACGAGCTCAGGTTAGGATTAAGGTTGAGGACGACGCAGAACACGATGCTCTCACGCGTACCTGCTGCGCGCGTTTGAGTGATTCGCAGGCCAACGCCGCTGTCGAGCTCCGATCGGGCATGGAGCGAGAGCGACCGGCCGGCACCAACGAATGATATGCTCTGACTCTCTGAGCGTGACCTGAACCGAGAGCTAGCGATGGAGGACGAGAACGAACGCGAATGGGAATGTGATGCTCCACCTCCTGTCCACAACGTAGCATCATATGGTCTGTGGTGTGTGGTCTGTCTCGCGCCGTGCGCTCGAGCTCTCCTTCGCAACCAAACCAAGCTGCTTTGTTGCTCGTTCCTTCGTTCTTCTGAGATCGAAGTCGTCACGAAATGGAGGCGGCGGCTCTGCCTCGTCCGGCGGCGGCGGGGAGCGGCGGGAGTGGCGCGGCGACCAAGCTGCAGAAGGTGTACCGCAGCTACCGGACCAGGCGGAGGCTCGCCGACTCCGCCGTCGTCGTCGAGGAGCTCTGGTAAGTGGTAACAGCGAAACAAGTCAAACAAACCGTTATCTGAGTTTTGAAGCGATTGCAAATTTGCCACAGTTTTGAATAGGAGCCCTTTTACGATGGTTGAAAATGCTTCCTAACGCTTGCTGACGCTTTCTGATGCATACCCAAAATAGCTATTTTATTAATTTTATTCGTTCAAGGGTATTATGGTCATTGCGCACACACCTCACTCCTCCCCACCCGCCCACACGCCCCCACACACGTCGCTCTCGCCCTCGCCCTCGCCAAAGCCGTCGTCGCCGCCCTGCTCTCTCCCTCCCTCTAGCCGTCGGCGGCGGCCCTGCCCCGCTGCCGCCCCCGCCCCCAGCGCGAGGGCCACGGTGGTCGCCTCCATCGCCGCCTTCTTCGATTCCGCCGGGTTTCCGCGCACCCTCGCCGCCCTCTAGTCCGAGGCCGCCTCGAGGTACCCTCTCCCCTTCACGGTGAGCACTCAAACCCACACCAACGGCTGCACTCTCCCTCTCAGATCTGGATGTGTAGTTGTGGTAAATTAGTACATGTATAGTTTGTATTTGATTTGATTATTCCAAAATTAGGCTTCTGTAGATGGATAATTGGTGCTCCTGTTCCAGAATGTTTGCATTACTGAAGCATCACAAAATTCTAATGATTTGAAATTTGGAATGTCTCTGCTGCAAGATTATGCTGCTAAGGTGCTACTAGTAAGGACATGTTATTAAGGTATAAAAGGTTTAGAAATATTCAAGAATGTCCAACAAGCATTTGTCAAATATCTATCCCCACGAGAAAAATAAATTTGATTAATAGCTCCCTTTTCTTTTACTCAAGAGCTCTATGTCAGTTAGTACTCAGTACTTTGTATGGTAGTAACCTGCAACCAAGTCTTATAAAGATATATAATTATGGTATTTTAGTTAAGACCAGAACACTTTCTGGGTTGTCCATGCTAGAAAAAAATATGCTTGTTGCATCCTGGTAGGAATCATTGCAGCTATCAGGCCGTTGATGTTGTGTCAGACAAGTCCTGTTTATTTTCACGTAACGAAGCTTCTGATGCAAGTTCTGGAAGTGGCCTGTTTTCAAGATTTTCTTATAGGAATGGATTATCTCATGTTGTGATTCTGAATTTCTTAGAGAATATATTGATGCAGTGCAACGAATACATCAAGTAGGAAAAGATTTCAGATGAGTATCGTCAGTAGAGTCGTTGTGATTGCCGTAGAGATATTGTTGGTCTGTCTGTGATTAGTTTCAGAGGTCACTTGGTTTAGTTTTTAGAGTAAGCAGCTAGCTGTTGGGTGAAATTTTGTAATACATTGAAGTAGCATGTCCTTACTATAAGAACATCTTGTAATTAATAGATTTTCTTATAGGAACGGATTCACTCTTGTTGTATGATGATGCAACTATTTGCATTACAGACATCATAAGAGCAGATGTTAATATTTGTATGTGACATATTTATTTACAATATATGAGTGCAGTGACAAGTCATGTAAATTCCTATTGACAATATATTGAAAGAGAAGTTTATGTTCAAATATACATCCTAGAAAATTGTACCATGTGAAAATTGACACACATTATCACATTAATGCATTTTCTTGCATATATCCTTCCATGCTAGCATTGTGCGTAGAGGGTTTTATCTATTTTTCTAGGTTTTTAGTGAAGTTTCAAATCCATGTTCCTGTTTTAAATGGTGGCAATTATTTTTGCACAATACACGTATGGTATATTTGGGTGAGCTCCGGTGGATCTGGGTGTCTCTAGCTCCATTTTTTCATGGAGCTTGATCTGTGGGATAGATTGGGGGTATTTGGGTGAGTCACCTGCTTCCTGATTTAGATTAGCTAATGTTAAATGCTTAAACCACTTTATTTCAGCCTGCAAACTCCATAGCCTGAGAATTCTGGACCTTGCGCTCTCCCAGATAGGGCTCCCAGATAGGGCTTCACTTGAAAATGATGCATTGTATTGTTGATATTATTCTTTCTGGACATGCTTTATTTCATTTCAAAAGAATGGTTGCCCTTTTATCTTAGTGTACTATCTTTGAACTGTGCTTTGTTATTCTATTGTTTATCTACTTGCTAACATCTTTAGTCCTGAATATTTTTTGACATTGCCATACGGATGCTTGCTGCTGCTAGTTATAATTTTTTTTTTCCAGTACTTTGTTGCTCCATAGAAGAGATTGAGAGGAAATGGCTGGAATTCTTGGATAAGCATAACGTTACAGATAAGGAGTCGTGGCTATATCAGATGTATGAGAGGAGGGAAATCTGGTGTGCTGCGTACCATGCTGCGTATCTTGCAATTGGTTCTGACAGGGAGATTGATTGTCAATCAGATATAAAATCATCGTCAGTATCACATTCCTTAGTTTCACTGCCCTCCCACATATAGTGGAGTCCATCTTGAGGCTTCAACCAGTCCAATTTGGTAATGCTATCCTAACCCTAGAATGGAAAAAGAATGCAGGATAACCAACCTAACAAAAGGTCACAGTGGCATAATCCTTCCTTCGGGCATTTTTCTGTCAACTCGGTCAATTCTTTGGGGTGGCCAGATTATGTGTGTGACCCTGCCCCGCAACAGACCCATAGGAACCTGCAGGTATAAAGTGTTTTGGATGTTTAGTAACAAGATCACAGATGCCTAGAAACTCGATCTGCTACACTGTGCAAACAAGTATTTCATAATGAGTGCTGCTGGAGCCTGGGTGCCATTTGCTTGTCTCTTTAAAGGACAGAAAGATATGAACACTCAGAACCAAAAAAAGCTCAACGAGGCACTGGCCTACTCTTTTATACTTGCCCTCCTATGCTATTAGAATTAGAATAAAAGGCTTGCAAGATATCATATCATAATAAACCATGAGGAAACTATCATCAGAGAAAATGAACAAGAGTGGAGATATTGAAGGCTTCAAGCTAGTTTTATCCACCAAACAAACAAGGAATGAAATTGGTACTTTGAACTTTTTAATGGGGATACAAATATGAATAATGAAATAGCATTGTGTCAATGGCTCGGATTTGCAAAGCATACCGTTAAATTCCTCCAGTGATCAAGATGCCAATTCAAGATGTTTTCATCAAGATTAAAAAGATCCCTACGAATAAACAACTAAAACTATCACTTTGGTAACCAAGTAAGCAACTGGCTTTTATCCTGTAACACAGCTACACAGTCAGGCCTTCCTTTTTGCAATTAACAAGCAATTTATCCTAGGCCAATAACGTAGTTGTGTCCAGTAACGAGATGAATAACTTATAGGGCCATAGGATCTCGAGTCAAAGCTGAGGGCGACGTTGTCCCATTCAACCCAGCAATGGCCCTCCGGGATCTGCCGGATCTCCTGCTTCTCCGGGATCTGGATCCAATCCCCAGGCAGCGCAATCAGCCTCTTCACCATCAGCTCACGATGGTCCCTCGGCCACCTGCGACGAGCAACAGCAGCGACATCAACAACCAACCAATCCAAGAAACGCCCACGGACCCGGAGGCGGGCCGGCGGCGGCAACTTTAACTCACCTAAACACGACGACGTCGCCGCGGGAGAAGTCGTAGCGGTAGAGGCAGTGCTTCTCCACCAGAGCGCGCTCGGCCTGCTGCAGGTCAAGGGTGGGGGTGCATGGAGGCGCTGTCCATGGTGACGACGGTGGCGACCCAGTCGGCGACGGTGATGCCGAGCACGCTGCCGGTGATGCATCCCTTCACGAGCGGCCAAACGACGGCCAAGGCTCTTGCCATGTGCGAAAAGGATCGGGACCTCGACGGGCGGCCTGGGCACCTACGACGCGGAGGCCGGCGAGCGACGGCCGAACGGCGAGCGAGGGACTCCTTGATGTGCTTGGCCAGGGACGGCGGCGGGAATGGGCGGCGGAAGAACTGACGCGGTGTGGACGCCGAGGTCACCAGCATCTGTGCGATGCCACCGGGGAGCCCGAAAGGGCTCCTGGCCCAGGGGATGCCGGCCGCCGACGACCGCGCCAGCGTCGCCCCGACCCTGCCCCCACACAGCGTCCCCGCGCGAGACGGCCAAGCGCTCCGCCTCCCTCCTCTCCCTCCTCCTCCACCCCCTCCTGACGCCGCATCCTCCAACCCGACCCTGAACACCGCCGAGACGGTGATGACAACGACGACGGCACACAGACGGAGAATAGAGACAGCGGCGAATGAACCCTAACAAGACGAAAATATTCATCTCCATCTAACTATGTAAATCTCAACTATACTACTCAAAACATTATTTTTACATTTGTGAATTTACCGTTTTTCCCTTAATTAAAAAAATAACCACGAAAAAGCAATTGTCACTCTTTTATTTGAAGTCCTAATCCTTTAAACTTTGGAGGCATTGGGAGGCGTTACGGCCATATGGGCCCACCGACCATAGACACATCTAACGCCTCCCTCATTGACGCCTCTCAACGCCTTTCCTCTTATGGGCCCACCAATCATAAACACAGCCAACGCTTCCTGGCGTCTCCTCAACCATAGTAAAAAAAATTCTTTGAATAGTTATATTCGAATATATTGACAGTTATAGCATGAGACTTAAGATCTCAACAAAAACAATACCCAAGCAAAAAAAAAGTGCAGTCATGAAAATATCGAACTGACAAGCAAAAGTATACAGAAAAAAAAGGAATGTACAGTTCTTCCTCTTTTATGAAATATATGTTTCAAAAGGATCCAGTAGAAGGCAGAGGAGATTATCATAGTGTTTTGGGAAAAAAAAGTGCGAAAAATATTCATAGGAATCATGCAGGAATTTTATAGGAATCAATTCAATTCCATAGGAAAAACACAGGAACATGAATTCTTTTCCGTGTTCAAAACATGCCCTAAATTCGTGAGAAGCAGGGTGAGCCTGCGAGAGAAAAAAAGATGAGTGAGAAAGGAAATGAGAGGAAAGAGGAGTCTAGGAGGGTGACGTTAGCAAGCCCAAGTATATTATATTAGCCTTTTTTACATATATTTTGCTCAAGATATTGTTTAGAAAATATAATGTGGATTCTAGATTTCAGCTTGCACTTTCCAAATGGTCTGAACTCCTATATAAGAGGTGATCAAATTAAATAGTTTGCATCCAGTTATGAAGTTAATTTGGAGCAAACCCAGAATGGAAAAAACATATTAGATCAAAATCCACCATTTTTATTTTGTTTCTATTTTAACATATAAAAAAATCTATAATTTTTCTATCACATCACATACATATAAGTACATAACACAGTATAGTTTAAGTAGACTGGTACGTGCTCATATGTATGATTTGTTCCATGAAAAAAAAAATCTCATTTCTCAAATATTCTGGTGTTCCAAGAAAACTGAATTGATTCTTACTGTATTTAAATAACTTTTAATTGACATCGAGGGGTTTATGGATTTGATGGATTAATGAAGGTGGCAAGCACTGGACTTCGCTCGACTTAACTACAACACTATCTCCTTCTTCGACGAACCCAAGCCTAAGACTGCTGCCTCGCATTGGAATCGTATTAGCCAAAACGCGTTGAAGGTTGTCTCAGTTGCTACCTCAAAAATCTTGATTAATCATACATTTTAGGATATCTGCTTTTGTTCAGAGTTCTCACTTATATTAATAACTTTTGGCCATACTTATGTGCCTGACACAGGTGGGTCACGGTCTCTCCAGGGAGGCCAAGGCTCTCAAGTTGGCTTTTTAGCACTGGATCGAGGCTGTGAGTACAATTAGTACAAACCCACTAATATTTATCCACAAAATCCATTTTACTACAATAGTATTCTTAAGATTTTCTGATGTGTCTACATGCATGTGGGTGAAAAGAGGTTACTTTCCAATATCACTTGATTTGAAAATTTTACTTAGGGTGAACACTAATCATCATTAGAAGTCCACATATTGCTCTTAGACAAATTTCTTTCAATCTCTCTATAATTTTTTTATTTGCAACATTTTAGAATTAATGGTGGCATTATATCACTATATACATTTGTTATTGTGTAGATTGACTCACGACATCGCTCCGGGCACAACCTACACTTCTACTATAATTTATGGTGCCAAAGCCAAGCTGGTCAGCCCTTCTTCTATTGGTGAGAACTTGTAATATTTGCATGTTGCATTTGTGGAACAAATTGAAGCAATTTGCATATAACATATATATGACAATAGAGACACATAAAAAAATGTTTGGAGGTATCAATTGCTAGTGTTATTGCTGGAAATTTCAGCGAGCTCCTATGCATTTGTAGGCTTGATGTCGGGGATGGAAAAGATGTGGATCTTCCTGAGTGTCCAAGAACTTTGCTGAAGAAGCAATGCATAAGATATCTTGGTCCTGTAAGAAATGTTCTACTATGGATGGCTATCTATCTAAAAATCATATATATTATGATCAAAGTATTTCAAGAAGAGTTGTATAAGGTCTTGATGAAGTTCACCACCAACACACCCTGACTTTGGTCCAGATAAAATTTTGTAATTAAATACCGCCACTATCCTTTAAGTATAAACACAAGTGATCATTTAAGTGGTAACAGCGAAACAAGTCAAACAAACCGTTATCTGAGTTTTGAAGCGATTGCAAATTTGCCACAGTTTTGAATAGGAGCCCTTTTACGATGGTTGAAAATGCTTCCTAACGCTTCTTCGGCGCTTTACGATGCATACCCAAAATAGCTATTTTATTAATTTTATTCGTTCAAGGGTATTATGGTCATTACACACACCTCTCACTCCCCCCCACACGCCCCCCACACGTCGCTCTCGCCCTCGCCCTCGCCAAAGCCGTCGTCGCCCTGCCTGCTCTCCCCTCCTCTAGCCGTCGGCGGCCAGCTGCCCCCACCGCCCGCCCCCAGCCAGCGAGAGGGCCACGGTGGTCGCCCTCCATCGCCGCCTTCTTCGATTCCGCATTGGTTTCATACGCACCCTCGCCGCCCTCTAGTCCGAGGCCGCCTCGAGGTACCCTCTCCCCTTCACGGTGAGCACTCAAACCCACACCAACGGCTGCACTCTCCCTCTCAGATCTGGATGTGTAGTTGTGGTAAATTAGTACATGTATAGTTTGTATTTGATTTGATTATTCCAAAATTAGGCTTCTGTAGATGGATAATTGGTGCTCCTGTTCCAGAATGTTTGCATTACTGAAGCATCACAAAATTCTAATGATTTGAAATTTGGAATGTCTCTGCTGCAAGATTATGCTGCTAAGGTGCTACTAGTAAGGACATGTTATTAAGGTATAAAAGGTTTAGAAATATTCAAGAATGTCCAACAAGCATTTGTCAAATATCTATCCCCACGAGAAAAATAAATTTGATTAATAGCTCCCTTTTCTTTTACTCAAGAGCTCTATGTCAGTTAGTACTCAGTACTTTGTATGGTAGTAACCTGCAACCAAGTCTTATAAAGATATATAATTATGGTATTTTAGTTAAGACCAGAACACTTTCTGGGTTGTCCATGCTAGAAAAAAAATATGCTTGTTGCATCCTGGTAGGAATCATTGCAGCTATCAGGCCGTTGATGTTGTGTCGGACAAGTCCTGTTTATTTTCACGTGAACGAAGCTTCTGATGCAAGTTCTGGAAGTGGCCTGTTTTCAAGATTTTCTTATAGGAATGGATTATCTCATGTTGTGATTCTGAATTTCTTAGAGAATATATTGATGCGATTACAACGAATACATCAAGTAGGAAAAGATTTCAGATGAGTATCGTCGGTGAGAGTCGTTGTGATTGCCGTAGAGATATTGTTGGTCTGTCTGTGATTAGTTTCAGAGGTCACTTGGTTTAGTTTTTAGAGTAAGCAGCTAGCTGTTGGGTGAAATTTTGTAATACATTGAAGTAGCATGTCCTTACTATAAGAACATCTTGTAATTAATAGATTTTCTTATAGGAACGGATTCACTCTTGTTGTATGATGATGCAACTATTTGCATTACAGACATCATAAGAGCAGATGTTAATATTTGTATGTGACATATTTATTTACAATATATGAGTGCAGTGACAAGTCATGTAAATTCCTATTGACAATATATTGAAAGAGAAGTTTATGTTCAAATATACATCCTAGAAAATTGTACCATGTGAAAATTGACACACATTATCACATTAATGCATTTTCTTGCATATATCCTTCCATGCTAGCATTGTGCGTAGAGGGTTTTATCTATTTTTCTAGGTTTTTAGTGAAGTTTCAAATCCATGTTCCTGTTTTAAATGGTGGCAATTATTTTTGCACAATACACGTATGGTATATTTGGGTGAGCTCCGGTGGATCTGGGTGTCTCTAGCTCCATTTTTTCATGGAGCTTGATCTGTGGGATAGATTGGGGGTATTTGGGTGAGTCACCTGCTTCCTGATTTAGATTAGCTAATGTTAAATGCTTAAACCACTTTATTTCAGCCTGCAAACTCCATAGCCTGAGAATTCTGGACCTTGCGCTCTCCCAGATAGGGCTCCCAGATAGGGCTTCACTTGAAAATGATGCATTGTATTGTTGATATTATTCTTTCTGGACATGCTTTATTTCATTTCAAAAGAATGGTTGCCCTTTTATCTTAGTGTACTATCTTTGAACTGTGCTTTGTTATTCTATTGTTTATCTACTTGCTAACATCTTTAGTCCTGAATATTTTTTGACATTGCCATACGGATGCTTGCTGCTGCTAGTTATAATTTTTTTTCCAGTACTTTGTTGCTCCATAGAAGAGATTGAGAGGAAATGGCTGGAATTCTTGGATAAGCATAACGTTACAGATAAGGAGTCGTGGCTATATCAGATGTATGAGAGGAGGGAAATCTGGTGTGCTGCGTACCATGCTGCGTATCTTGCAATTGGTTCTGACAGGGAGATTGATTGTCAATCAGATATAAAATCATCGTCAGTATCACATTCCTTAGTTTCACTGCCCTCCCACATATAG